CGAAAAAAGGGACTACCACTCACTGGTGGCCTAAACAAAAGAAACAGAAATACAAGAGGCTCAAGCCGTTATGAAATCAACCGAAAACTTGAGCTCCTCAAACAATCAGAAATAAAGAAATAAGAAATAACGCAGAGATGAAGAAGAAACAAAAGAAGACTTCCACTGATCAATGACCCTAGACCATCTTCATTGTTGTTTTCTTCTCTCTGATGCTGATTGCCGGCTTGCCTCCTCAAATTCTTGCCAGTCTTGCATAGCCGCTTTAACTATGAGGTGAGCTGGCCGTGAGACACCTTCAAAAATCTAAAGATTTCGGGATTTACAGAACCACCATAATATGTACGTGGACAACTGAATTCTTGCTTCTGCAATGTCCTTGTGATTGAGGGATGAAATGTGCCACCACTAGTCCTGCATTGTTTCTGAATTTTTTGGCCCTTCCCATTGCACAGGGGATAACGTCCAAACCACCTTGGCCTTGCTCCATAAAAACATGTCATGCTATATAGTTTCTTCAGCTAAATCACACACTCTGCATGTTTGATCAATTTCCAGGCCTTTCTTCAAGAGATTGACTCCCACTGGTAGGATTCCAGACACACGTCCAGATAAAATGCTTAATTTTACCCTTCACTTTGAGTTTACACAACCTATTCCTTACCTGTTGATCCCTGATGAAAGAAGTACTGCTCTGAGCTTTATCTGTACTAAGGAGTTTCTACTGAGTAAGGGCAGCATATTCTTTGAAAACTGAGAAGACTCCTTTTTTATCATGTGTCCAGATCCAAGTATCATCCAAATCAGGATTAAGAGTACTCACTTGCATGAAACCAGCACAATCACCTGGGGAGAAATTCTGATTGAGTATGTGAGTATCCCTGCCATTTCCATCAGGTAAGAGAAGGTCTTTGACCCAGACTAAGTTTGCCTCTGCACCTGGGTTGAAGTTAAGTCTTCTACCATTTAAAGCATGAACCCAATAGACATCTTTAATTCTGATGCTCTTCCCATCTCTGACAACAGCCATCATCTGGCATAATTTCAAAATTAGTCCTATAATTTGACCATAGTCCAAAAAATCACCCCTATATTGACTACTTTCAAAATTGGTCCTATAATTTTAAAAATTAATCAAATTTGGTCCTTTTTATCCGGAACATTGATTAAAATGTGATTAAAAAAGGACCAAATTTGATAAAAAAAAAGGACCAAATTTGATTAAGTTCTGAAATTATAGGACCAATTTTGAAAGTGATCAATATAGGAGTGGTTTTTTGGACTGTGACCAAATTATAGGACCAATTTTAAAATTATTCCGCTATCATCCATTTACCACAACTCTCTTTTACCTTAAGCCAAGTGCTCCATAGCCATGATGCATTATTTTTCCTTTAGGCTTCCATTAAAGAGACATCTGGAAAGTATTTGGATTTGAGTGCCCTACTTACCAGAAGATAAGGATGGGTTAGAAGCCTCCAAATCTGTTTTGCATAATTTCACCATACCTTTTCCTACTAATTTCTAAAATTTATCTCCATCTTGTAACCCCCAACTTTATTTACCCAAGCCCAAAAAAAAAAAAAAAATTATAAACACGTGTAATTTTCAAAGAGTCCTATTAAATTAGGATTTTTTTAAAACTATAAAGTGTAGTTTAATTTCAAAAAGTCTTAGAGAAAATTACACTCTTTGCTACTTCATCCTAACTTATTTTTAGGTTTACAAGAGGCAATATTTTTTTTTTTTCAGGTTTACGTTGGTAACTTTAATTATGGCTCGACTCTTACCAAAAATATTATTTAATTATGTTTCCTAAAAATATGATAAATCATGTGTGAGTCGCCGTCCCCCTCTGCATATTTTTTAGAGGTCGTGTAAATCTTTTTCTTCCTTATCTCACGCAAATCTCTACGTCATCTTCTCCAAACCCCCAAGATTCACCATTGTCACTGCAAATTATCTCTAAAAAAATCATAATTCTCGCTAACACTCTTCCCACACTTATCTTACCAAATTTCTCTGTTACATCTATCATTTTCATACACTAAGCAGAAAACCTTATTTATTTATTGCACGAGGCTCGTCAATGACGAATAAAAGGCCATTATTGGTAAAAGTTTGAATCTGAGGGGGGTCGTGGCTTGAAGGCTCTACTAAAGACAAGGGTAATCGTTTGTAATCTTTAGAGGAGAGCGGTTGACAGCAAGCTTCATATCAGCTATGACGGACAACACTGGCGGTGGAAGGTCCTGTGTTGTGCGCGCGGTAATCGTTGGGCTCGGCTCGCGGCTGACCGTAACATCGGGGGAAAGACTAGGACACAAAAGCGTCATCATCTTCATCTGTCAGATTTGTTTACCTAATGTATACATTTACTTTAACTATACTCTCTGGTTATTTGCATCGTTGTTTGAATCTATAATATTTGTGTGTCTACATATTTGTGTTTCTAATGTATATGTTCTGTATAACTATACTCTTTATAAAATTCAATTAAGTCAATGTTTGAA